CTACCAAACTCTGTGAAAAAAATCGGGTCATTCCATTTGACTTTCCAAAGTTACCCCCGTTTCACCCTTAAGGAGGGGTAGGGGATGGCTAGCGGTAGCACCAAATAATGTCCCCTTTGGTCACATTAACCTTTTATTTAAGACATGTTTCCGTGAAATGCGTAATTCTCGAGATATTGAGCTGTCTCAAGTTAAAAGAAACACCCTGTATATAGAAAGAAATGGCTTCAAAACAAGCAAACTTTCTTTCTTCTCGAATTTAAACGACTTCGTACCCAAACCAAAAATCAAATTAGTAGGTAATGCCAATAATAACTATATTTCTATACTGCAAGAAAATATTAAAAAAAAAACCATTTGCCTTATAAATGGAGCTATATAAATGAAATTAAATTTACACTTTAGCGACTTTTCCGAAAAACGACATGGGGGTTGCCAAAATGCAACAAATAGGTGTGGAGGGATGTAAAAGTGCATAAACAATCGGCGCAAGGTGAAAAAGTTGTATAATTATCACGTAATTAATAAAAAAGGGGCTGATAATTGAAGTGACTTACAGGGATTTTCTGTGAAAAAGAGCATGTAGCGAGCCAAAACACGTATATAATATACGTAGAATTTGAAAGTGAAGTGAAAAATATTGAATTATGAAAAACAACATCATAAATTGCGGAAAATGCGATTTTTAAAATCAGATAATTTGAGGTTATGCAGGTTCACGATCCAGCCTGCCCTTAGATATATTATACCTCTATAGACGACACTAAAAATCACGGAAACCTCGGAAGTATTCGGCCGTGTCCGGAGGGCAGCGAGAAGCGGCTGGCGGGAATTTTGATTTTAAATATTGTTTTGGTTCGTTCTTTATTTTTAGATCGTATAATTATATAGCCTTCAAAATAAGTGATGATTTATTAGGTTTATTAAGTATAATAAACATAACAAATCATTACTTTTTTGGAGAATTTGTTAGATATAATAATTTACACAAGAAATATTAAGAATATAATTCTGATAAGGCTGATTTGCATTCTCGTTTTAAATTTATATCAAAATCACTTGCTTTCGGATGTTTAAACGTTTTTTGTTATTTGTATTTCTAGGGACTTCAATCTATTTCATCTTTGATGGTGGAAAAATAGAAATTGTTTTATTCTTTGCAGGAAAGTGGCATGCATTCGAATTTGGTGTACGGTTAAAGCAATCGAAATTTTGTTTTCACATAGATGTTTAAAATTAAAAAAACCCTTCTAATAAAACCAAGTATAGGTCAGAAAAATTTAACTACCCCATTGAAGATCAGCTTTAAAATTTTGAATACAGTACATAGATGAGCAGTAAAATAATTTTTGTTGTGCTAAATTTAAACTAAGTTTTAAGAAATCCGCGATTTTAAATACAACCCATAAGAAGAAAATAAAATAAACTTATGGATGTTTTTTTTAAACCAAACATATCATTTAGGTATATACAATAATTGTTAGCTTACACATATGTGTACGTATAATATATATATATATATATATATATATATATTAATTTTAGAAATTACAGTTGATCTACTTAAATAAAACAAAACATAATATTAAAGTTCTTTATTTAAACTTAGTTTTAAAAAATCCGCAGTTGCGATTACAACCCATAAGAAGAAACTGCAAGAAACTTATGGGTGCTTTTTTCTTTAAACCAAACTCATCAGTCAGGTAAAATACAATAATTGCTAGCTTACACCTCTAGCTACATGATATGTACCTAAGTACATATTTATATATTTTAATTTTCCTAGTACTAACTAAAAATTATACTTTATACATCTACTTAAATAAAACCAAAACAACACTATAAAACTACAAAATAAATTTAAAATTAATAATAATACTAATTTAAAATTTAAATTAATTTAAAATTTAAAATTCTTCTTCATTACATTATGTTTCTTCATTAAATATGATACATCATTTCTATTCAGCATATTTATTCTTTGAATTTTCTCAGATTTTAATTTTCTGGCATCGGACATAATTCTGTCTACGGTTACACCACTACATAATTTTTTAACTATTACAGTTTTTTCAAGTGTTGACTTCTAATCTCCTCTTCATGGCCTACATGTGATTTCCAGAATTTTACAGTAATCTCTCCTACAATTAAAATGTAGATATTATCTCAAATAGATTCATATTTTAGGGTTATATATAAGGCATAGTATTCATGTCTACTCATATACTTTTTAGGCAAAAGAATAATATTTTACCCTTAAATTTACCTGTTTTCCAAAGCTTTATATTTAAATGAGATGGGCGGGCATACTCCATACAATTTAATTGAACCACCAGCCTTCTCCGTTCTTTTGGAACAATTGCTGCCATGTCCTGAGGATAACAGAAATATTTTGTAAAATAAAGTAATAAAAGGTGAACTTAATATTTTACCTATTGAATTACTACAATTGCAAGTGTAGGATTTTTCTAAATAATCATTAGATCTTTTTGATCTGGCCGATGCATAAGTTGTCTCAATTTTCTGTTGATCAAACCACAGTTCATAACTTTCTCTCGTTGCAAAATTATATGTATGCATTTCTATTTTTATTTTATGGTTTACCTCCAAATGTTTTTCCAGTTTATTATAAGTACACAACAATGCCTAATAACACGGGAATCGCCAATAATTATTGTCAGACCTCTCTGGATTTTAAAACACATTTACTAATAAAAAAAATAGTCTTATAATAAACAAAGCCTTCTAATAAACAGAGATATACTATCTGAATAAACAAAACGAATAAAAGCAATAACATCAATTTGAGGTTATGAAATAACCGTTTTTTGGCGCAAATGATTCATTAATTTGAAATGAATGACGTCAGCCGCCGAAGCTCTCCGTAAACAGCCGAATACTTCCGAGGTTTCCGTGATTTTTAGTGTCGTCTTACCTCTATTGCTCAATGGGGCGGGGGGGGCAATGGGGCGGGGTCGGTTGGGTTGGGTTGTTAAGTTTGGGTTGGTTTCGCTCACTTGCCCATTTTAGTGTACCTGAATAACCAAGATGACAGCTAATCGTCATAACCTCAAATTACCTGATTTTAAAAATTGCATTTTCCGCAATTTATGACGTTGTTTTTCATAATTCACGCTTTTTCACTTCTACTTTCAAATTCTACTTCTATTAGATACGTGTTTTTGGCTCAGAAAATCACGGTTATCAGCCCCTTTTTTTATTAATTACGCGATAATTATACAACTTTTTCACCCTGCGCCGATTGTTTATGCACTTTTACATCCCTCCACACCTATTTTTGGCATTTTGGCAACTTTCCTGCTGTTTTTCGGAAAAGTCGCTAAAGTGAAAATTCATCTAAATGAAAAACGCGACATAACACGAATTCCAGGGACCCTTTATTTAGAAGGCAAAGAGCTCACAAAAACTTCTGATATTGTCAACGCTTTTAGCATGTATTTTTCGATGCCAATTCACATCCAAATTTTTTAATGAATCTGGTAACTGAAGAAGATGCAATTAAAAAATATCTGTTAAATTATTCTTACTCTTTTCACTACGAAAAATCGTCCCATTAAACAGATTACGTGACTAAATTTTAAATAATTTAAAACAATTAATGTGACTAGAACTAAATAAAGAACAAGTTTGTAAACAATATATTAGGCACACCTTGCATAATACCACTAGTGGTAACATTTTACAGATATATTTGTTAAATTTTATACGTCAGGCGGGTGGTTTTAAATTAATGTCACGAGCAAAATTTATGGGTAAAATTAAAAAAACTCAGGAAAAATTTTACTACCGATTTAATTTCAAATTATTTTTTTATTTAAGGCCAACTAATTTTTCAAAAAAAAAAATCGAAAAAATACGTTGCTAAGTAATATTTTAACAAGAAGCATGAGTGCTGGTGTCAACAAAAATCCGAGAAGAAGACGAGGATTTTTGCACCTGCACGAATGCATTTTGTTAAAAAATATTAGCATTGTGTTTTCTCGATTTTTTTCACAGGAAAAATTAGATGCCCGAATGGTATTTGACAAGACTATTTCATGAGTAACAGTTGTTCTGCATGCACATAGCTTACAAAACATACTAAGTACCTAAGTATCTATAGAGAACGCCGTGTAAGTACCTATTATACATGCATACATAATAAATATGTATTAATATAAAAACTGAAAATAGGTTATTTATTTAATCACAAAATACTAGAGATGGGAAAATTCCCATTTGACGAAAATTCCCGGAAACTTTCCATCGAAAATTCCCGAAATTTTCCGAAAGTTTCAAAAAAAAATTTTTTATTGCGAAAATATTTTTTTTATGCCAGGGTTTTTTGTGATGATGCTGAATAATCCGGCTTCATTGAGGTTATGTAACATAACTTACATTATTTATACTTCTTCTTCTGCCTTAAATTAACACACATTAAATTCTTATTCAAAGTTTCTTGGCCTTGTATCATGGCCTTAACGAAAATCAGCGGTTAAACAATTGACATTTAAATGAAAAAAACAAGGAAAGTTTCCAAGGAATATTTCCAAGGAATGTTTCCGGTAGCTTAAAAGAAACTTTCTAAATGAAAATAAATTCCCAATTGGAAACTTTCCAAAACGGAAAGTTTCCTTAAAATGGAAACTTTCCGATTCCCATCTCTACAAAATACTACAAACTTAATTTTTTATGGTACAATTAAAATATAAATTGCAAATTTTGGTAAACTCGGAAAAACTGCTGACAGGTGCTGTCATACAGTTTTTCCACCTAATTCAAAATTGCGCGTTTATGATTGGTGGAAATTAAGTTGACGGAAATAGTCCAATTAAAATTACAAACATCAAATTTGACTTAAACATTTTTGGAAAACCATTCCGTTGTGATGGCAACAACCAAACAGTGTTTTTTTCGAATTTTATCGCTTTAAACTAATAAAACCACTCATTTTGTAAAATTTTATTTATCCAAAAAGTAATGTGTGGAATAGTTAAAGTAAATATTAAAATACTTAATTTATAAAAATATATAATACATTTTGCTGTAAATTTTTTGTTACATTTAATTTATATATTTTTTCGCATTTATGGCTGTTTTATTAATTCAAGTCTTAGTGGTTATGCAATAAAATTTCTACCTATTTAAAAATAGAAAGAAAAATAAAATGAAAATATTTAGATAATATTAAATAAAATCAAAACCAACATTATATTTGCATGTAAAGTAAGGCTAAAATAATGTCGTTTACTTTTACTAACAGAATTAATATAGTCTTTAACAGCTAGAACGCTGGTATACACTCCTGGACTCCTGGGTTCTGCACAACCATTTCCAAATGAAACAATTCCATAGAGAGTATTATTAACTACTAAGGGACCTAAAAATATTTATGTAAAAGTGTAATTTGTAATGGTCTATTGTTAAGTTTGTACCTCCCGAATCTCCCTGACAAGCATCCTTCCCTCCCTCCCTTAAATAACCAGCACAAATAAACCTATCCTTAACATATCCTTCATAATATATATTACAAATATTTAATGGTATAAAAGGAAGGATTATTTTTTGTAAACTATTTGATGCTGGGCCACCTTCAAATTTAGTTCCCCAACCTGTAACAATACAATTGGTTCCATCTTTAAGCGTATTATTTGCAAGGTTTGCAATCCTTGTAGAGGCGTTATTTATTGATGATTTTAAAATTAAAACTGAAACGTCATAGTCAATAGGTTTTTTAGTGTAGTTGGGATGCTGGTGGATTTCTTTTACATTAATTACTTTTCCTCCAGTATTAATATAGGAACTACCATATCTTATTGATAATTCCTTGCTTATAAATCTAAAAAAAACATTGTATGTAACAATGGATTTAAAAAGTAAAAATATTTGTACCCATCTGTGCAATGGGCAGCGGTTAGTATAGTTCTTGGACGAATAATAGTGCCTCCGCAAATGTGTAATCCATTATATAGAAGAGATACTTGATAAGGATGTTGAGTTATATTGACATCATCACCTCCTACTATCCTTACGTTAGCTAAAAATATAATTATTTAATATATTCTATACAGTTTTGGATACTTTTAAAATCCGAATAAAAAATATAATTTTGCATAATATACTATACTAAAGGGTGTCCACTTAAGAGTGCTCTAACTTTAAAATGAAATAAAACAAACTACACTTAAGATAATAGGAAAAAAATATATTTATTTAAAAGAACATCCTATGGCTTTAATTATGAAAAATAACATCTTTCAAATGCCCCCCACGGCTGCGCTTCACAGCGCGCATTCTGCAGGTCAAGTTTTCTATCACTTTTTCGCACATTTCGGGTTTGATTTTATTTATTATACAAGTAATGTTGGCCTTCAGTGCTTCAATTGTTCGTGGCTTATTCACGTACACAAGGGACTTTACGTAGCCCCACAAAAAAAGTCCAGCGGCGTTAGATCGCATGATCTCGTTGGCCACTGGATATCGCCGCCCCGTGAAATGACGCCGTTGAAACGTTTGGCGAATTAAACATTGATTTTGTTGGTAAATTTGAATAATTTGAATACGTTGAGCAACCGTGTAACGCTCCATTATCAAATGTCATAATATGCCAACAAAACTTCAAAATATTTGACAGCTGTGTCTGTACTGACTTAGCCATAGCCGCCTATCAAACATCGAGCGTACCTAATTGGACACCCTTTATATATAGCCTTGGAGATGATCCGATCTACCAAAACGACCCACACGTTTTATTAATCCGGATCGTATCATAAATTATTTATACAGTAAAGAATCTTAGAAGACTATAGTTATTTGTTTTACAAGTGTTGAAAAGCTACTTTTTCATGCAAACGGCCTCGTGTGCATCAACACGAGCTTGAAGAATGCTTTTCTTACATGTGAAACACAATATTTTTTCTACGACCCTTTTATTTTTTATTATTTTCAAATACAAAACAAAATAACTTAAAAACGTGTTTGACAGCTGTTAAAATTACTTTCAACTTATTCTTTTAATTTTTAAAGTATAAGTTACTTAAAATCAATAAACTTACCTTCTCAATTAAAATAAAGGCACTAAAAATTGGATTTTATATATACAAATACAATTAACTGTGTTCTTAATGATATTTAGACAATTATACAAATACAATACAAATTTTGAAACGAATGTCAAACGATGCTGTCAATTTCTTTTCACAGACCTGTCACTTTTCACACAGAAATGTAACTTTACATTTGTATTTTGCCTTGCCAATGAAAAGATTCATTTTCTAAGCAACAATGCCATTACAAAATGTGACTTTTACATAGTGGTCGTAGAAAAAATCATATACGAGATGTGTTCAGAAAATATCGGGAATTTTCGTTTTTTTGAATCAAATATTTATTTATTCGTCTACATTAATGTTGTCGCCTTTAAAATAGTCCCCATTGGATATTATGCACATGTGCCAGCTCTTCTTCCAATACTCGAAACACTTCTAAAACTCGATCTTTGGGATAGCCTTTAGTTCTTTCAGCGATGCGCTTTTAATGTCGTCTATGCTTGCAAAACGACGGCCCTTTAAGGTTCTCTTTATTTTTGGGAATAGGAAAAAGTCAGACAGAGGCATGTCTGGCGAATATGGAGGCTGGGGCATCATTACAGTATTGTTTTTGGCCAAAAATTTTGTTCCAAATTTGACAATTTTAGAACATTCGAAAAAATTTCAAGGGATGAGCCAATCGATACACCAACATCATCAGCGACTTCTTTGATGGTTTATAACCATTTCTTCCACTTTTTTCCATGTTTTTATCGGTTGTTAATGTGCTTGTGCGTTCGGAGCGTTCGTCATCTTCAACGTCTTTACGGCCTTCTTGGAAACTCTTATACCACTTGTAAACTCTTGTTTTAGTTATAGCAGACTCACTATAGGCCTTTGTTAACATTTCACAGAATTTATTTCATTTTTTAAGCAAAATTGGATACAAATTCTTTGATCCATTTGTTTTAACGAACGAAAAATCGCCGAGCTCATAAAACGCGTCTAACCTTAGCGGCTGCCACAGACGAAGTAAACAATGAAAACAGCTAAAGTTTTTATAATACTTCGGGGGCATGTATACCGACATAATAAAGAAAATTTTATGACAACCGGACCCTCTGAACCCGCGATATTTAACAATTCCCATTATTTTCTGAACACACCTCGTACTCTTTTATTACAAAGCGTAAAGTATTGTTTACTTTTAAATAATAATATTACTGTGATAATATGTATACAACTAAAAAAAGAAGAATTTATTCTGGATTACCTCTTCTTAATAATTAACAAACAAAATAAACTATAGCGTTAATTTGGGGCAGTAAATATTAATCATATTCTATTAATTCCAATAGACTGTAAAATGTAAAAATTAATATGTTGATAACCGATTCCTATCTAATCTGTATTGTAAAAATATTTCCAAATATACTGGAATTCGATGCATGGATACTTAAATTGGGTCGAATAATATCATAAATATCGTATCGTATCGTATGCAAGCCGTTTTACTATTTAATGTGCAATTTTTATACAATTAAAAAAAGAATTGGGCTAGGGATATAAAATTTACCGTAATAAAAATGGTTACAATTTCCATTATGTTTATTAAAAAATGGATTATTTAAAATTTTTTGTACACAAATTTAATTTAAAATACATTAAATAGTAAAAGGGCTTGCCAACTTTGTGAAATTAATTTTAATTTATTTTTAATTTGTCTACATCTTTTTTATCTTCAAATAATTAGTTCAACTTTTATGATACCTTATTACAATTACATCAATTTTTCTTAAGGAATACCTGCCTTGCACATGTTGAATTCATCGTCAAAAATTATTAGAACTGTATAAAAATAAATAATTTTTAAGATAGCAATACTTTCATCTTTTTTTAGTAGAATTGTTGTGTTCGGGATTACCCGGCTTCGTGTTTTGCCTAAACTCCCCTAGGCATGCTTTACTCAAAAATCGCTATATTTTTAATTTTTGTTCATTTGTTTTCATAGTTGCATGCATCGAGCAATTTGGTCGCAAAGTTAATAAGAGTAAATTATCCTCACTTAATTTTGAGTGTCCTCTTAAGCCATATAAAATAAGATATAAAGAAAGTGTAATTTCTTTTAAATTCTATACTTATTGTAGACTTTTCTTAAAATGTTTAAGAATTGTTTCGGAATAAAGTTAAATTGTAAATATTATCGGTCATTTTAACTACATAACTACTATCGGTGGTCAAAAGTGACCCATAATTAAAAACGGCTGAATAAAAAATTATTTTATTTTTTTCAATGAAGCACATTGTATGTATAATATTTAACTTACCATTTGTAAAAATAAACAATAAAGAGGCAATTAAAAATAAATGTATCTTCATTTTCCTCAAAATATGAAATAAACAAATAATTACGAGACAAGTATTGTTTTATGAACTTTTATTTAATGTAGTTTATTGCAAAGATATGTTATCTATCTGTTAGCTATATGTGTCGATAAAAATGGTACAAGTCATTGGCGCTCATATAAAATATTCCAGGGGGCAAAAACCATTATTAAAATAGTTGTTAAAAAACGTTGATTTCAAAATAGAATATAAGATATACCGTTTTAAAATTTACCAAAACTAAAAATCAATATAAAACTATTTTATTGTTCTTTTACCAACAAATTGATGTAAAAAACTTAACAACCTTAAAATAAATCTATATTTGCATTATTATTTTTTCCTATTAAAACTTTACACAAAACAAAATTATTAACTTTACAATTTTGATTCTATTGAATGAAGCTTTTCTAAGCTATATTTTCTTTCATACTAATTAATTCAGTTACAGTGTGTTGCAGACCAGTAGTGCTTACTAGTAGTTTTCACTATATTATTATTATTATTATTATTGTACAGCAATCTCATTAAAAAGTTAATTAGATTGCTGTAATAATATATTAATAATATTATTATTAATATATAACAAATATTTTGGTAATAAATTATTACTTAATTTGATTTAATTTTTAACTTTTTAATGAGATTGCTGTACAGTAATAATAATAATAATATAGTGAAAATTACTAGTAAGCACTACTGGTCTGCAACTTTTTCTGGGGTAAACAAAATTATTTGCAAAATAAATAATTTTTAATGCTGCTCAAAAAATTAATGATGATTTGTGAACCTTCTCAATCCTTTTGGGAAAAGTTCCAAATGATAAGTAACCTTTTAAGCATTATTAAATATGGGTTATTTTACAAATCATTTTACTAAGTCCAGAAAAAGTTTTTGGCGCTTGGTTCCTTTTCGATAAGCGTTATACATATATAATATAATATTATACTGTCTGTCCACTCTAAGTTGGCTGAACTAAGGAATTTTGTTGTTTATATATTAAAGAATTGTCGTACTGTGTGCTTTTAAAACAGATTTTATATTATAAATAATACTAGTATATAATATGTACTAGTATTATTTATAATGTAAAATCTGTTTTAAAAGCACACAGTACGACAATTCTTTAATATCTAAACCACAAAATTCCTTAGTTCCGCCAACTTAGAATGGACAGACAGTAGTATATTGTTACATTAGGTACCAATATATTTTGCAAGTTGTATAAGTGCCCCCTGCAGGATATTAGGTTTACCCATATAAATTTTATAAGGTTTTACTAATCCATTTTAGTACATTATTGTGTTTAATAATAATACTTTTAAGTAATGCTTGTCTTTTAATCTTTAGATTAAATTTACATATCTGCACGCAAAAAATAAGATAGGCAAAGATAACTGATAACCAAGGACCGGATTTTAGGCAAAATGCCCTTTGTTTTTGCCTAAAAGCCTAAAATGGCGAAATTTTGATTTATTGTCCTAAAAATACATTTTTATGATCATTATATAGGCAGCCTATTATAGGCTTCTTTAATTTTTCAGAAAAATATATATTTTTCATTACGAAAAAGTAATCTATTTCTAATAAGGCCCTGCTTTCTTGCTCTTATTTCGCCTAGACGCCTTTGGCGAGTACGAGGACCACAAATTACAAAACTAGTGAAAACCTAATAAAAAAAGTAATTGTGTTTTTGTTATATCTAAATATTTATTATAAATAATTATGGATTGTAAAATAATGGTTAAAAATTATTATTTATTTTGTTTTCATAGGTTTTACTGTAATTTCCATATATGTTTTACATATATATATATTAGGGTGCTTCTTTTCGCTTTTTTCGCTCTTACCCTCTCAAATGTTTTTATTTAATATAAAAAAATCCTCACCAAATAAGGGCGTTCCAGCTCAACTCTAAGAGGTCGCTGTTTTTATTTTAGTTTCCCATTGAATTAACATGGGAAAAAATTAATTTATGTTTGGAATTTTATACCTCTGTATCAAAGTATCTTATGGCAATGATCATTGCAGTTTCTTATATAAAATTTAACGTTTTACAAAAAAGGTCTCTTATTATTTTTCGATAAATTGATTTATTCTAGAGTTATTCGAGGTCAAAGTTTTCCCCCTTTCACCTCCCGTCTGCTAATTGTACCAGAAAATTTGATAATAATCAAACTTTGACTTCGAATAACTCTAGAAGAAATTAATTTATCGAAAAATAATAAGAGACCTTTTTTGTAGAGCGTTAAGTTTTATATAAGAAACTGAAATGATCATTGCCATAAGTTACTTTGATACAGAGGTATAAAATTCCAAACATAAATTATTTTTTTCCCATGTTAATTTAATGGGAAACTAAAATAAAAACAGCGACCTCTTAGAGTTGAGCTGGAACGCCCATATTTGGTGAGGATTTTTTTTATATTAAATAAAAACATTTGAAGCACCCTAATATATATGGTAATTTCAGTTTTTAGTAAAATAATTTGTCGCCATCTATGGCATAATTAAATAACTCTACACAATTTACAGGTGGTAAATAGTTTTTCTATAAAGACTTTGACTACCGTTGGAATCAACGTGTCGTGCTTTTTTTGTATTGGTTTTTATTTTTTGTTCAGCGTCGGCCTGCTTGTTTCTGTTAGGTTTATAGAGATTTAATTAAATAACAGCTGTTATGCTTAAAGTTTGTTTATAAGGGACGCTGGGCAACTGATGTAAACAAAAATAATTTTGTCTAATAGCGACCTATTTCGGCAGGTTATTCGTTTGGTTGTGCCTAGCTCTCGGCAATTGTTATACACACTATATAGAGCATATGCTCTTTCAAGTGTTTTCTTAAATAAAATAATTTTACGCAGGTCAGATTATTTAATTAAAATATGTTTTAAACAAAAATTTAATTATTTGACATGTTTATTAGAATAACTAAAGTGTAAAATAAAAAACTCAACTTTTAAATTGGTTAAAATTATTTTGTTTAGACATTGTTTACCTTGTCTACCCGCACGATTCGGCACTATTAAAAACACTTTTTTTCATTGTGAAAAATATGGAAAATTAATAAATCTTAAAAACTTATCGCCCTCTTTGAATTCATACATACAAATTGACTCTTAAATGTCCGGGATACAAATTGCGGTTGATTATTATTGTAGTTAGAATTCCTAAAATCAGCTGTCATATGTTTATACTTTTTATAAAAGTGGAACAAAGTATAAGTTAAGATAAAAATCACTTGATTGATAATTATTAAATTAATTTGATAAATTTATAAATACTAGTATGCTTTAATATTACTCAATTTCTATTGAAGGCATTATGTCTAAGTTTTTATTTATTATAGTTGTCCTATTGTCAACATATGGTAATTTAGTACAAATATTTATTAATCTATTTGTTTAAATTTGTTTTTTAGAAAAATCAATAGGTCATCCTTTAGGGATTGTAGGAGGAAATCCTGTAAATATTGAAGATTATCCTTACCAAGTTTCAATGTTATTTAGAGGTAGACATGCCTGTGGTGGATCTATTTTAAATGAAAACTTTATTTTAACAGCAGCCCACTGCACATTTGAGTAAGTTATCGAAATAATTTGTGTACACGTACTTACAATAGGAAATTAATTTTTTAGTGGTTCTATTCGTGACATTACAATAAGAGTGGGCTCCTCAATAATTAACAGCGGCGGTAAGATTTACAATGTTGCCAAGATAAACTACCACGAAAAATTTAATATTGACACCTACGATTTTGATGTATCCGTCCTAAAACTTACCGAGCCTATCGCATTTGAAGAAGGTGTCCAACCTATCTCACTTATCGCCAAAGATACTGAGATCCAAGACGGCCAATCTGCCGTTGCCACAGGATGGGGCAGAATTTCGACCACAGGACCTTTAGCCAGTCAGCTTCAACAGGTCGATGTGCCAACTATAAGCACTGAGACTTGTCAAGGATATTACGGTAAAGGGATTGGTGGAGTTACTAAAAGGATGTTTTGTGCTGGAGATGACGGTAAAGATACATGCATGGTAATAATTATATAATATTATTTAAAAAATACATATGATTATACTCATTTTTAGGGCGATTCTGGAGGACCTTTAGTGATCGATGGAGTTCTGGCAGGAATTACTTCTTGGGGAGATATCTGTGGACAAGTCAGTACTCCTGGAGTCTATACAAAAATCTCTATATTCAGAAACTATATTGACGAAATTATGAATACATAAGGTTATTGATAAATAAAATTATCTATAAAAACAAATGAAAGCAAAACACTTTAAAATAAATGTTTATATCTATAATAAGTGCAATTTGTAGATTAATATTTTTTGAAATAAAAAGACTTTTAATTAACATTTCCCAAAGTACAAAGAAATACTAATCAGTAAATTGAATTAAAGAGCTTGAATTGTTCTTTGGATTAACAATGATTACATTTAAAGAAAAATATAAATATGACAAAAATAATAGATGAAACTACATTTAACTGGATATATACAACATTAAGTAAAGATTCAGGGCCGGATTAACCAATGAACAAATAAGAAATTGCTTAGGGGCCCAGGAATGTTTTAGTTGTATGCATTAAAAAATTTTAAGTTGTAGAATAATACTTTTTTGGTAAATAAAAAATGAATAGGCAAACAAACTTCAATACATAATTATGTATATTTTCGACTATATTTTTGTATGGAATTAATTTTTATGAAAATTCCACAAGTACTTTTTAAGCAATCAAAACGGATTTTTTGATAGGTCACCATGGCAATACATGTATATTTGTGAAAATTTCGTTTGGGTAGGTAACCAACAGGGAAATAAATCGGAATTTTTTTAACATAATCACAGAATATTTTTTTTTGACAATATTGGTTTTAATTTCTTTATTTAATTTTGATACATTTCAATTAGGTACATATTCTTTTTCTATGGTACATACTTAAAATGGTTTCTGTTTTCTTCGGCCCCTCTTTTCTTCTTAACGTCAAACAAGCTGTACTTCCTTCAAATGGGAACCACAATCTTCTATTATTAAGTCCAAATATGACATGGCACGATGATTGATCGGACAATTTTGTGCATATTTTCTTTCTTTATTTTAAAAATAAAAAACGTGTTCGTTTTGACTGCAAAATGTTCTGTTTACTACAAAACACAAATTTTTGCTAACGTTTTGTACTGTCAAAATATTATAAACAACTGCCTCCTTCAAATACGATGAACACAGACCCCTATTATGTTTGCTTCCGCTGGTTAATCACGCCATATAAAGTGTACATATAATAAATTAAATAAAACTCAAAAAAGCAATTTTTTACCACTTAAACTCAAAGTTTATGTAAACTTAAAGAATGTACTATGTTAAGTCTTAAAATGGTATTTCCCTTCAACTACAATAAGTAGAAATCATCTTGTCAAAGAAAAAAAAAATAGGCATTATAAAAAGTAAAAAAACATAATTTTATCTACTCCTATTGCATTATATTGTTTTTTCCGTGAATAATGATAAACATTATACATTCCCTGCAACGGGAATAATGAAATCATTATTCACGTTGATAGGCACAAGTGATCGCCGATTTCAATATTCACTGTAATTTAAACCAATCTGGTTTTAAATTGGGAGAAGGCGACTATAATAACATTTAAAATTGGTAAAAAGTGAGGTTAACCATTTGACAGATGTCAGATTTTATTTATTTATTTTGGAAAATTATTAAATTATCTACTTATTGGAGTAGATAAAGTATAGTATTACACTCGAGATTATGCGCATTATTCACTCGGATGATTGAAGTCTCTCGTCGGCGACTCGAGGCGCAAACCTCAACCTCGTGAATAATAGACTGCATTATCTCTCATATAATAATATACTATTATTTTAAACACAATTTGGTGTGACATTTTCTTACCGAATACCGCGAAAGGATAAATTAAATCCTGAAACTTTTTCTGTTGTGAAATACTAGTGAAAATGTATTCATATAGGATGATTTACTTTTCTCATTTAAGTGAAACCTAACCTGAAGGGAAGATATTATTGGCACAGGCTAGGTTGGTTGAGTTAAATTATTCTTAAAATGATTGCTAAGGGCTCCTGAAAATGTAAATCCGGCTCTGGAATGATCATAATATACATTACTGGTAGAACCCAGGGTGGAATTACCTACAGCCATTTAAGATAGTAAACAGATAAAAAAACATTTTTTTTGAATTAGTCCATAATTTAATTTCTATAAAAGTCACAGGGGATATATGGGCCTAAAATTAAAAAGCTCTAGGATTGGTCTTGTCTAATATGTGCTTATAAAAAATAAGGTTTTAATAAAATACCTAACAAAGTATATTGGATGTTTCCCCCTTTAATACGAGATAGAATTTAAAAACTAAGCAAATATTGATAAAGTTGATGAACATAATCCAAGTTATTTAATATATATTAGAAATAGCATTTATAAAAATATACCCAAAATACCTGAAGATAACGACTATCAATATTTTATTGTATTAATGCTTTTGTCGTAAATAAATAATTAAGCATTATTTGATAAATTCTTAAATTATATTTAAAAAAGGGAAGAACGCAATGCAGGCGGCTAAAAAAGTAAGAAGTTTATGGGGCTATATAATCACCGTTGTTTGTTCGGTTGTATAATGTCAAAGATGCTCTGGTCAACCAATCACATTGCGGAGAAACCAAATATTCATAATTTTATTAGCAATAATGAAAATGTCCAATTTGTTTTTTTAAATTTAATTAAAAATATTATTTGTTATATTACCTACCTATAAATCGACGAGGAATTTTTGGTACCTTATATTTAAAAGTTTGTATTTATTTTATTAATTTGAAGACAAATTTAATTTTTAAAAAATGCCCAAAATTGTGTCAGCAACATCTTAGTAGGTGTTCACGTTCAGGTTCAAAGATCCGTTATTGTTCGTTACTGATCCTGTTTCTTGAAACTTCGCCATCATCAAAAGAAATTGTCTATTTACTTACCTACCCGGATAGTGTGCATAATACACAGTGCATTGAATAAATAAATGCATGATTTTGGCACTTACTATTTAAACCCACAGAAAAATGTTCAATTTAACTAACCCATTGGTATATCCACATTATGGGTCCCATAATAGGTATATATTCAATATCCTTATATTCCTTCCCCTAACTTTTCTCCCAAAGTAAACCTCCTTAATAATATATTCTCCTGATAATTTGGCTATTGTAAGGTTACCCCAAAGACCGTTTAATTAAAATACGTGAAATTCAATAATTTAATTAATTAATCGTCGGTTTTATTTATGGCCAGTAGCGGACTTAGGAAGCGAATGAAAGTTTTACTCAAACCAAATTTCAACTAAATATTTCTTGAAGAGGATAAACTACATTGAAAAAATTTAAATATAATTTTGAAGAAGAACAGTATGTAGTAAGAGTTTTGCGAAAAAAAATATCGTGATCTAATATAACCTTAAATATTGAAAAAACAAGGTTTTTATACTTTTGGGTGGGAATTTCTTAAAAACTGATGTCGTATTTGGATTTAGGTCATCAAAAAATTTAGTCTGTTTTGTTTAAGAATTTTTAATCTAGAACTGCTATGCGTGGGCCCCATGTTTTGGAAAAATAAATTAATAAAAAGTTGCGAAGAATCTATCAACAAATTCAATATTAGATTTGGAACAAATTTTTTTAATAATAAAAATCTTTTTATAGAAAAACTGAGTTAGTTGAAGTCTAAGCAGACTTAAGGGCCCCATCTAATTTTGATAAAATTACAAAAGTGCTCTTTTTTAGTTCCACCCTAACTTCCTAAGAAGTAAACTATATAGATCATAAACTTGTAAGGACTTCTAAAAATATCTCAAAACACAACTGTTTCTCTCATTTCGTAAGGATTTAAACGCCCAAAAAAACCCTGCTTACGCTCCTGTTATTAATTATTATATTATATAATTATTATTATAATTTATTCATTTTACTAAATAACTGATATTTACTATAGGATTTTAGACCAGTACAAAATATATTATTAAAATATCCGGCAGATTATGATTAAAAAAAATACTCTATTTTAGTAATTACATTAAAACCAATGCAAAACAAAATACTTTTATAAATTTATTTACTCACAAAAAAAATTAAAACCATCGTTATTATAATATAAATTAAACGCATCCCTGCTTGTATTTAGGGTATAGTAACATTTCCTACAGTTATTGATTTTAAGCACAGTTAATTCTTTGGCGCGGGTATGATCCTGTAGTCCGGAAAAGCTCCATTACCTCATGGAAATTATATTCTCCTGCTACCGGAGCTTTCCCGGAAGATACCTCAGCAAGCTTTTACCACTTTCTGAATAAGGAAATGCTTCTAGAGAACTCAAAGGTGGTTTTTCTTCTACAATTTTAGTAGCATTAATTGAAAACATGTTTTGTAATAAATGGCGCCAAATTCAAACCAAAACATTAATTTTTAATATTGCGATATCGTTTCTATTCGTGTATTGATTTCTTTAAATGCGCTAAAATATCATTTCATGTGTTTACGCATTTATCTTGGGGAATAATTTTTCAATGGCAAAATTTGGTTTCCCACCCTTACCCCCTGCGCCCAGGAGCTACCCCCTTAGAAATTCGAATTGGGAAGGGGGTCTGTTTGTTTTAATATTAGCCTTAACGTAGCCCTTAGATATTAGATATCTACAATAATAACTTTATTTTTCTAATACAATAATAAGATACTTACATTATTTTATTGTCCCAAGGAAAATAAACGTATTATTATTATTTTGTAATTCGCTTAATTGCAATCTTTTGAGCTCAGCACAAAAAATACTCACTTCTTGTTGTCCTAATGACATAATCTTCTATTAATGACAAGTGTCTGAACCCTTATACAAAAACACCTGGGCAGAGCGTAGTGCATTAAAAATTAGATGGAAAAATTTAATCTGTAAAAAGTCCAAAGTAAGTCTTAATAGGAAAAAGAAAATCGTCGAAATCTTCTCACAAAAATGCATTTTTCTATCTTCTATCTCCAACATTTTAATGCGTTCGATTAAAATATCATCATAGGAAATTACCTAACAAGAATAATTTTGAAAAAAATAAATATTATCTAGATACTTCCAAGAACGTTCGTATTAATGCCTAATGCTAAATTCAACCAATTTAATGTTATGAAACAAGAATAAATTTAGTTTTTGTTTGATAAGGATGTGATGCAATCCGAGAAAAGAGACCTACCGTCAGGATTATCATAAGTGGTAAGCAATCTTTTGAAAGGTCCAGATAAAATTTCTTAATCTAAAAAATTGACACTGCTATTTATTTTCGAAGTCGAATGCTACAACAAAAACGCCTATGCCGCACAACTTCAATAGTTTCCCCTTTAAAATTCGGTCTTGGATCGCGTCACATTTTTGTATTTTTTTATGCAGGGTG